GTTAACCCACGAAACGAGTGGACAGGCACTACGTCCGCCAGAGAGAGGGGATGCGCAAGCCGTGGATCGATCGCGTGATAGGTGGGTTCAAGCACATCTTCATATTTTTACCATCCCAATGCCATTTTATGGCTTGTAAATTGATACAACGGTCCCCTAAGCCTTCACGTGAAGTTTCGTGGCAAGACGACCCATTTTCTATTTTTCACGATTTTTGAAACTTTTTACGGTTCAGGATTTTTTAAAATTTTTTCAGATAGAGTTTTGGCCCCAAATTTGGTAGACATGATCCTTGTGTTTTTGTTGGCATGCACAAACAAATTCAGCTAAAAACTCAAAGTGGAGAAGATTTTGTGACCGTTTGAAAAAAGTGTCCCCATTTCAGACACTTTAATGGCTACTGGCAGCAAACTTATAAAATTTCAAATGCTCTTTATGAGAGTGTGAGTTTTCGAGGATTGATGAGGGATAGGGGGCCAATATAAGGGATAGATTCTCGATAGCCTCTGGGCCTTGGTTGGTCGAGATCGAGAATGCACTACGTACGCCTAAGTCAGACCCATGAAATGAGCGTGCGGGTGCTCAGCCAGTCAGAGAGCCAGAATGCACAAGCCGAGGATTGGCTCGGCCCCCCTCTGCATGCTACCGATCCCGCTGCGGGTCCCTCGATCCGATTGGGGCTTAGACTAGGAATGAACTCCGCATGCCTAAGTTAACCCATGAAATGAACGTGCGGGAGCTCAGCTGGCCAGAGAGGCAGGATGTGCAAGCCAAAGATTGGCTTGATCCCTTTCTGCGTGCTGTTGCCGATCCCGCTGTCGGTCCGATGTTAGACTGGGAATGAACTCCATATGCTTAGACTGGGAATGAACTCTGTATGTCTAAGTCAACCCACGAAATGAGCGTGCGAGCACTGAGCCGATCGGAGAGGCATAATGCGCAAGCCGGGGATTGGCCCGGTCCCCCTCTACGTGCTACCGATCCCGCTGCCGGTCCAGCTACCACAACCCTTGGTCCGACTGGGGTTTAGACATGGAATGAACTCTGTATGCCTAAGCCAACCCACGAAACAAGCATGTGGGTGCTCAACCAACCGGAGAGGCAGAATGTGTAAGTCGGGGATCGGCCCGGTCTCCCCCTGCATGCTGCCAATCCCGCTGCGGGTCCTGCTGTCGCAACCTTCAATCTGGTCTGATCTTAAGACTAGAATGAACTCCGTATGCCTAAGTCAACCCATGAAACGAGTGGACGGGCACTACGTCGGCCAGAGAGGTGGGATGCGCAAGCCGTGGATCGATCGGGTGATAGGTGGGTTCGGGCACATCTTCATATTTCTATCATGCCAATGCCATTTTTATGGCTTGTAAATTCGTACAATGGTCCCCTAAGCCTTATTGTGAAGTTTCGTGGCAAGACGACCCATTTTTTATTTTTGCACGATTTTTGAAACTTTTTATGGTTCAAGATTTTTTAAACTTTTTTTAGAAGGAGTTTTGGCCCAAAATTTGGTAGACATGATCCTTTTATTTTTATTAGCATGCACAAAAAACTTTAGCTAAAAACTCGAAGTGGAGAAGATTTTGTGACCGTTTGAAATAAGTGTCCCCATTTCAGACACTTGAATGGCTACTGGCAACAAATCGATAAAATTTCAAATGCTCTTTAAGGGGGTGTGAGTTCTCGAGGTTTGATGAGGGATAGGGGGCAATATAAGGGATAGGTTCTCGATAGCCTCTGGCCCTTGGTTGGTCAAGACCGGGAATACACTACGTATGCCTAAGTCAACCCATGAAACGAGCGTACGGACGCTCAGTCGGTCGGAGAGCCAGAATGCGCAAGTCGAGGATCGACCTGACCCCCCTCTGCATGCTGTCGATCCCACTGTTGGTCCTTCAGTCCGATTGGGGCTTAGATCAGGAATGAACTCCGCATGCCTAAGTGAACGAATGAAACGACCATACGGGCTCTCAGCCGATCGGAGAGGTAGGATGCATAAGTCGAGGATCACCCGGTCCCCCTCTGCGTGCTGCTACTGATCCCACTGCCGGTTTGATTTTAAACTGGGAATGAACTCCGTATGCTTAGACTGGGAATGAACTCCATATGCCTAAGTCAACCCACGAAATGAGCGTGCGGGTGCTAAGTCAATCGGAGAGGAGTAATGCGCAAGCCGGGGATCAGCCCGGTCCTTCTCTACGTGCTGTCGATCTCGCTGCCACAACCTTCGGTTCGACTGGGCCTTAGACATGGAAAGAACTCCGTATGCCTAAGCCAACCCATGAAACAAGCGTGCGAGCACTTAACCGATCGAAGAGGCAGAATGCATAAGTCGGGGATCGGTCTAGTCCCCCAATACGTGCTACCGATCCTGCTGTCGTAACCCTCAGTCCGGTCCGATCTTAGAATAGGAATGAATGAGACTTGCTTGGACTGGGGATGAACTCCGTATGCCTAAGTCAACCCATGAAATGAGCGTGCGGGCACTCAGTCGACTAGAGAGGCAGAATGTGCAAGTCAGGGATCGGCCCGATCCCCCTCTACGTGCTGCCGATCCCGCTGCGGGTCCTGCTACCACAACCCTCAATCCAATCTGATCTTAGACTGGGAATGAACTTCGTATGCCAAAGTCAACCCACGAAACGAGCTATCGGGCACTACGTTGACCAGAGAGACGGGATGCGCAAGTCATGGATCGATCGAGTGATAGGTGGGTTTAGGCACATTTTCATATTTCTGCAATGCCAATGCCATTGTTATGGCTTGTAAATTCATACAATTGTCCCCTAAGCCTTCGTGTGAAGTTTCGTGGCAAGACGACCCATTTTCTATTTTTCATGATTTTTGAAACTTTTTACGGTTCAGGATTTTTTAAAATTTTTTTAGAAGGAGTTTTGGCCCCAAATTTGGTAGACATGATCCTTGTATTTTTATTGTCATGCACAAAAAATTTCAGCTAAAAACTTGAAGTGGAGAAGATTTTGTGACCGTTTGAAAAAAGTGTCCTCATTTCAGACACTTTAATGGCTACTGGCAGCAAACCTATAAAATCTCAAATGCTCTTTAAAGGGGTGTGAGTTCTCGAGATTTGATGAGGGATAGGGGGCCAATATAAGGGATAGGTTCTCGATAGCCTCTGGCCCTTGGTTGGTCGAGACCGGGAATACACTATGTATGCCTAAATCAACCCAATAAATAAGCGTACGGGCGCTCCGCCGATCGGAGAGCCAAAATACGTATGCTGAGGATCGGCCCGGCCCCCCTCTGCATGCTATCGATCTTGCTGTAGGTCCCTCGATCTGGTTAGGGCTTAGACCGGGAATGAACTCCGCATGCCAAAGTCAACTCACGAAATGAGTGTGCAGGCACAAGCCAACCGGAGAGGCTGGATGCGTAAGCTGAGGATTGGCTCGGCCCCCCTCTGTGTGCTGCTGTCGATCCTGCGGCCGATCCGATCTTATACTAGGAATGAACTCCGTATGCTTAAACTGGGAATGAACTTCGTATGCCTAAGTCAACCTACGAAATGAACGTGCCGGCGCTGAACCAGTCAGAGAGGCATAATACGTAAGCCGGGGATCGACCCAGTCCCCCTCTGCGTGCTGCCTATCCCGCTACCACAACCCTCGTTTTGGCTGGGGCTTAGACGTGGAATGAACTCTGTATGCCTAAGCCAACCCACAAAACGAGCGTGCAAGCACTCAACCGACCGAAGAAGCAGAATGCGTAAGTCGGGGATCGACCCGATCCCCCCTGCGTGCTGTCAATCCTGCTGCTGGTCCTGCTGTCGCTACCCTCGATCCGATCTGATCTTAGAATGGGATTGAATGAGACTTGCTTAGACTGGGGATGAACTCCGTATGCCTAAGTCAACCCACGAAATGAGCGTGCGGGCGCTCAGTTGGCCAGAGAGGTAGAATGTGCAAGCCGAGAATCAGCCCGGTCCCTCTCTACGTGCTGTCGATCTCACTGCGGGTCCTGCTGCCACAACCCTCGATCCGGTCCGATCTTAGACTGGGAATGACCTCTGTATGCCTAAGTCAACCCATGAAACGAGCGGACGAACACTATGCTAGCCAGAGAGGCGTGATGCGCAAGCCGCGGATCAATCGGGTGATAGGTGGGTTCAAGCACATCTTCATATTTCTGACGTGCCAATGCCATTTTTATGGCTTGTAAATTCATACAATGGTCCCCTAAGCCTTCATGTGAAGTTTCGTGGCAAGACGACCTGTTTTCTATTTTTCATGATTTTTGAAACTTTTTGTGGTTCGAGATTTTTTAAAATTTTTTCAGAAAGAGTTTTGGCCCCAAATTTAGTAGACAAGATCCTTGTATTTTTGTTGGCATGCATAAAAAAATTCAGCTAAAGTGTCCCCATTTCAGACACTTTAATGGCTACTGGCAGCAAACCTATAAAATCTCAAATGCTCTTTAAGGAGGTGTGAGTTCTCAAGGTTTGATGAGGGATAGGGGGCCAATATAATGGCCAAGTCCCCTGTGACGCGTGCTTGTTGTCCACCCGAACCCCTTTGGACGTCCCGCATCGCTAAGTCGATGCTCGCGTCGTAACCCTAGGTCAGGCGGGATCACCCGCTGAGTTTAAGCATATCAATAAGCGGACGAAAAGAAACTTACTAGGATTCCCCTAGTAACAGCTAGCAAATTGAGAAGAGCCCAGCTTGAGAATCGGGTGCCCCGGCATCCGAATTGTAGTATGGACAAGTGTCCTCAGTGGCGGACCGGGCCCAAGTCCCCTGGAAAGGGGCGCTGGAGAGGGTAAGAGCCCCATTGTGCCCAAACCTTGTTGCACCACGAGGCACTGTCCGTGAGTCAGGTTGTTTGGGAATGCAGCCCCATCGGGCGGTAAATTCTGTCCAAGGCTGAATACGGGTGGGAGACCGATAGCGAACAAGTATCGTGAGGGAAAGATGAAAAATACTTTGAAAAGAGAGTAAAAAAGTGCTTGAAATTGTCGGGAGGGAAGCAGATGAGGGCCGGTG